CACCCCGGGGGGCTATAAGGTCTGCCCACCAGCCCTTCCCTCACCCCGGGGGCTGGCTATAAGGTCTGCCCACCAGCCCTTCCCTCACCCCGGGGGCTGGCTATAAGGTCTGCCCACCAGCCCTTCACCCCCTCTATAAGGTCTGCCCCCAGGGGGCTGGCTATAAGGTCTGCCCACCAGCCCTTCCCTCACCCCGGGGGCTGGCTATAAGGTCTGCCCACCAGCCCTTCCCTCACCCCGGGGGCTGGCTATAAGGTCTGCCCACCAGCCCTTCCCTCTACCCCGGGGGCTGGCTATAAGGTCTGCCCACCAGCCCTTCCCTCACCCCGGGGGCTGGCTATAAGGTCTGCCCACCAGCCCTTCCTCACCCCCGGGGGCTGGCTATAAGGTCTGCCCACCAGCCCTTCCCTCACCCCGGGGGCTGGCTATAAGGTCTGCCCACCAGCCCTTCCCTCACCCCGGGGGCTGGCTATAAGGTCTGCCCACCAGCCCTTCCCTCACCCCGGGGGCTGGCTATAAGGTCTGCCCACCAGCCCTTCCCTCACCCCGGGGCTGGCTATAAGGTCTGCCCACCAGCCCTTCCCTCACCCCGGGGGCTGGCTATAAGGTCTGCCCACCAGCCCTTCCCTCACCCCGGGGGCTGGCTATAAGGTCTGCCCACCAGCCCTTCCCTCACCCCGGGGGCTGGCTATAAGGTCTGCCCACCAGCCCTTCCCTCACCCCGGGGGCTGGCTATAAGGTCTGCCCACCAGCCCTTCCCTCACCCCGGGGGCTGGCTATAAGGTCTGCCCACCAGCCCTTCCCTCACCCCGGGGGCTGGCTATAAGGTCTGCCCACCAGCCCTTCCCTCACCCCGGGGGCTGGCTATAAGGTCTGCCCACCAGCCCTTCCCTCACCCCGGGGGCTGGCTATAAGGTCTGCCCACCAGCCCTTCCCTCACCCCGGGGGCTGGCTATAAGGTCTGCCCACCAGCCCTTCCCTCACCCCGGGGGCTGGCTATAAGGTCTGCCCACCAGCCCTTCCCTCACCCCGGGGGCTGGCTATAAGGTCTGCCCACCAGCCCTTCCCTCACCCCGGGGGCTGGCTATAAGGTCTGCCCACCAGCCCTTCCCTCACCCGGGGGCTGGCTATAAGGTCTGCCCACCAGCCCTTCCCTCACCCCGGGGGCTGGCTATAAGGTCTGCCCACCAGCCCTTCCCTCACCCGGGGGCTGGCTATAAGGTCTGCCCACCAGCCCTTCCCTCACCCCGGGGGCTGGCTATAAGGTCTGCCCACCAGCCCTTCCCTCACCCCGGGGGCTGGCTATAAGGTCTGCCCACCAGCCCTTCCCTCACCCGGGGGCTGGCTATAAGGTCTGCCCACCAGCCCTTCCCTCACCCCGGGGGCTGGCTATAAGGTCTGCCCACCAGCCCTTCCCTCACCCCGGGGGCTGGCTATAAGGTCTGCCCACCAGCCCTTCCCTCACCCCGGGGGCTGGCTATAAGGTCTGCCCACCAGCCCTTCCCTCACCCCGGGGGCTGGCTATAAGGTCTGCCCACCAGCCCTTCCCTCACCCGGGGGCTGGCTATAAGGTCTGCCCACCAGCCCTTCCCTCACCCCGGGGGCTGGCTATAAGGTCTGCCCACCAGCCCTTCCCTCACCCCGGGGGCTGGCTATAAGGTCTGCCCACCAGCCCTTCCCTCACCCCGGGGGCTGGCTATAAGGTCTGCCCACCAGCCCTTCCCTCACCCGGGGGCTGGCTATAAGGTCTGCCCACCAGCCCTTCCCTCACCCCGGGGGCTGGCTATAAGGTCTGCCCACCAGCCCTTCCCTCACCCCGGGGGCTGGCTATAAGGTCTGCCCACCAGCCCTTCCCTCACCCCGGGGGCTGGCTATAAGGTCTGCCCACCAGCCCTTCCCTCACCCCGGGGGCTGGCTATAAGGTCTGCCCACCAGCCCTTCCCTCACCCCGGGGGCTGGCTATAAGGTCTGCCCACCAGCCCTTCCCTCACCCCGGGGGCTGGCTATAAGGTCTGCCCACCAGCCCTTCCCTCACCCCGGGGGCTGGCTATAAGGTCTGCCCACCAGCCCTTCCCTCACCCAGGGGGCTGGCTATAAGGTCTGCCCACCAGCCCTTCCCTCACCCAGGGGGCTGGCTATAAGGTCTGCCCACCAGCCCTTCCCTCGCCCCGGGGGCTGGCTATAAGGTCTGCCCACCAGCCCTTCCCTCACCCCGGGGGCTGGCTATAAGGTCTGCCCACCAGCCCTTCCCTCACCAGGGGGGCTGGCTATAAGGTCTGCCCGCCAGCCCTTCCCTCCCCCCGGGGGCTGGCTATAAGGTCTGCCCACCAGCCCTTCCCTCACCCCGGGGGCTGGCTATAAGGTCTGCCCACCAGCCCTTCCCTCACCCCGGGGGCTGGCTATAAGGTCTGCCCACCAGCCCTTCCCTCACCCCGGGGGCTGGCTATAAGGTCTGCCCACCAGCCCTTCCCTCACCCCGCGGGCTGGCTATAAGGTCTGCCCACCAGCCCTTCCCTCACCCCGCGGGCTGGCTATAAGGTCTGCCCACCAGCCCTTCCCTCACCCGCGGGCTGGCTATAAGGTCTGCCCACCAGCCCTTCCCTCACCCCGCGGGCTGGCTATAAGGTCTGCCCACCAGCCCTTCCCTCACCCCGCGGGCTGGCTATAAGGTCTGCCCACCAGCCCTTCCCTCACCCCGCGGGCTGGCTATAAGGTCTGCCCACCAGCCCTTCCCTCACCCCGCGGGCTGGCTATAAGGTCTGCCCACCAACGCTGCCCTTCCCTTACGTGTGCACCCTATTAATTCACCAGTCTGACCAGACCTATGGTCTTGGACTGGTGCGTCCACGGAATCCATCCCCACATCTCCAGTACTAGTCATTCATACTGAAAATATCTCCAATTAGCCTCCACTTACGGGGTCACCATAGACCGTGCTACTACTCCTTCTCTCGACCAAAGACCACATTCTCTCCAAAACATCTACCACTTACGGGCTATTCATGCCCGTGCCACCTCTTGGGTGACTTAGTCCTCATGTATCAATCAATCAGTCCACTTCCTCCACACTATCTCGCTCTGATGAAGGCCAATTAATCTGGAAACGCATTCAGGATTTTTCAATATTGTCAATGACAAAGTTGGAATGATTACACAGTTTCTTGCTGCGTCATATATACCGGAGGACGAGGTGAGGTGAAGCACCTCTCCACCTCCAGGGGCTGACAGTGCTGCGTCAATAATACCGGAGGACGAGGTGAGGTGAAGCACCTCTCCACCTCCTGGGGCTGACAGTGCTGCGTCATATATACCGGAGGACGAGGTGAGGTGAAGCACCTCTCCACCTCCAGGGGCTGACAGTGCCCAAGTGGGACAGTAAAGACGCAGAACCACATTCGTCTCTTTCAAGAGGCTGTGTTTGGTGTTGTTCAGGCGCAAGTTGGCAGTCATCTTGCTCTTATAGCATATTATTAGTCCCATCTTCTGGTTGGTGTCAGTAGAGGTCACATTGGTATTAATAATGTTGTTCAGAACCCTCTCCTCCGTCTTGTGACCCGCGGAGAGGTAGTTCATGTAGGATATTTTAATAGTGGACAATTGTGTATGTATTGTATTATTGCTGTATTGTCTGTTGTATCTGAAGTCTGAAGACGGCTCACGTTTCCTTGCATCCCTCGACGTGTCCACCAGGAGCCCCTCCTCCTCTTGTGGTAGTACTTACAGTAACCATCAGCACCAGCCTATATACTCTCACCTACACCATAATTTGAAAGTACAAATCGGCACTATTGAGTTGGACAAACCGGAAACTGTATTTTAATTGGGTTGCTTTGACAACCTAAACTAACCTATCGTAATCTTCCTAGGCCTAATACACGTTATCTGAGGCCTAATATAGTACATATGTGTACTATACTAGGCCTAGGAATATTTAAGTATTTTTTTTAGCATCATTTATTTTAAGAGAATTCCTTAGTAGTCAGTATACTACCATCTAAAAGCTCAGTACGTAAGAATTCTGACGGTTGACGATTCTCACAATAGATAGTGTCTGAACAGGAAGACTTGGGCTGGCGTTATAGTATACAATACTGACCAGGACCTGCCTCACTGGTCCAAGGTCCTCGTCACCCTGCGGCCAACTGGAGCTGTGTGTGCGGGGCGTGAGTGACCTACACACTGACAACACTCACCCCGGACCCATCACAGCACTCACTACTAGCATTAAGGCTCATCCCTACCTTGCTTCCCATAGTGTACACTGATGTGTGAAGGTCACCATTTCTTGCCCAGACTGTTCCATCTAGGGAAGGTAGTTTACCTCCTCTCTCAGTCTCGTTAAGGTGCCTTAGACCTGAACTTTGCTTGAATGCGTCCTTAAGCCGCAAAAAGTGCTGAACATCAGCTCCCAGCAGGAATATGTCGTCTACATATATATACTCGGCTTTAGGCCTACGTCAACAAGGTCTTTCTGTTCAACGGTATCCATGAATAAATGATCAAATAGGACACCAAAGGGGCACCCCATAGCTCCCATCAGGACTCACAAAGAGTGCCTCTTTAATCCATGCTTCAAATAGCCTCGTAAGCCTACCTCCTGGAGTGTTAAGCACAAACTTGGACCCGATAACCTCTCTCCAGCAACATACCAATAGTCTCTCCCACGAGGGAGTCTCATCTCCCTACTGGGGAGCACAAGCCTGGATGTACACATGTGACTGTCAAGACCCACACACACCTGGACACCCACTCCGACCCATCATGAGCCAGATACGTACGCCACGAGCGGACTAAGTGACTCAACTCACTGCTAACTCCACATGTGCCATAAGCCCTCAGCTTTAAGCTTTCCAAAGGAATTTGTTGACTTGCTGCCGGAGGGGGGGAGGGGGGCTTGAGAAGTGAGCACGTCTGTTGATGTGGAGTTGCAACAGCAAGAACCACTCATGCAACAAGAACCACTCATGCAACAAGAACCACTCATGTAGCAAGAACCACTCATGCAACAAGAACCACTCATGCAACAAGAACCGCTCATGCAACAAGAACCACTCATGCAACATGAACCACTCATACAACAAGAACCACTCATGCAGCAAGAACCACTCATACAACAAGAACCACTCATGCAGCAAGAACCACTCATACAACAAGAACCACTCATGCAGCAAGAACCACTCATACATCATGAACCACTCATACAACAAGAACCACTCATGCAACATGAACCACTCATGCAACATGAACCACTCATGCAACATGAACCACTCATGCAACATGAACCACTCATGCAGCAAGAACCACTCATACAACAAGAACCACTCATGCAACAAGAACCACTCATGCAACAAGAACCACTCATGCAGCAAGAACCACTCATACATCATGAACCACTCATACAACAAGAACCACTCATGCAACATGAACCACTCATGCAACATGAACCACTCATGCAACATGAACCACTCATGCAACATGAACCACTCATGCAACATGAACCACTCATGCAACAAGAACCACTCATACAACATGAACCACTCATACAACAAGAACCACTCATGCAGCAAGAACCACTCATGCAGCAAGAACCACTCATGCAACATGAACCACTCATGCAACATGAACCACTCATGCAACATGAACCACTCATGCAACATGAACCACTCATAAAGCAAGAACCACTCATGCAACATGAACCACTCATGCAACATGAACCACTCATGCAACATGAACCAATCATACAGCAAGAACCACTCATACAACAAGAACCACTCATGCAACAAGAACCACTCATGCAACATGAACCACTCATGCAGCAAGAACCACTCATGCAGCAAGATCCACTTATGCAGCAAGAACCACTCATGCAACATGAACCACTCATACAACAAGAACCACTCATGCAACATGAACCACTCATGCAACAAGAACCACTCATGCAGCAAGAACCACTCATACAACATGAACCACTCATACAACATGAACCACTCATACAACATGAACCACTCATGCAACATGAACCACTCATGCAGCAAGAACCACTCATGCAACAAGAACCACTCATGCAACATGAACCACTCATGCAACATGAACCACTCATGCAACATGAACCACTCATGCAACATGATCCACTCATGCAACATCATCCACTCATGCAACATGAACCACTCATGCAACAAGAACCACTCATGCAACAAGAACCACTCATGCAGCAAGAACCACTCATGCAACATGAACCACTCATGCAACAAGAACCACTCATGCAACAAGAACCACTCATGCAACATGAACCACTCATGCAACATGAACCACTCATACAACAAGAACCACTCATGCAACAAGAACCACTCATGCAACAAGAACCACTCATGCAACAAGAACCACTCATGCAACATGAACCACTCATGCAACATGAACCACTCATGCAACATGAACCACTCATGCAACAAGAACCACTCATGCAGCAAGAACCACTCATGCAACATGAACCACTCATGCAGCAAGAACCACTCGTGCAACATGAACCACTCATGCAATAAAAACTCTTATTCAACAAGAAACTTTGCAATCATTCCAACTCTTACTTTTACAATGTTGACAAGAGTCAACGAAACGCAACTCTTAATAATAAAACTGCAAAAATGAACTTTGGAGAGTTAATTTGTCAGCTTCATTCTCAAGTGAAGAAGAAGACTGTGAGGAGAAAAAGAAAAGATTCGCTCTAGAATCATTGATTTCACTCCTCCGGTCGCACTCAATAGAGTGCGACCGGAGGAGTGAGAGTAAGAAATTAACATCAAGATCAGCAGCAACAACAATACGTGATGAGAAGGCTGTGTCTAGACCAGACATCACTACTCTCTACACCCCAGTACCCGTGACCCCGACACACCTGGTGTCTGGGAGCCATCACTACTCTCTACACCCCAGTACCCGTGACCCCGACACACCTGGTGTCTGGGAGCCATCACTACTCTCTACACCCCAGTACCCGTGACCCCGACACACCTGGTGTCTGGGAGCCATCACTACTCTCTACACCCCAGTACCCGTGACCCCGACACACCTGGTGTCTGGGAGCCATCACTACTCTCTACACCCCAGTACCCGTGACCCCGACACACCTGGTGTCTGGGAGCCATCACTACTCTCTACACCCCAGTACCCGTGACCCCGACACACCTGGTGTCTGGGAGCCATCACTACTCTCTACACCCCAGTACCCGTGACCCCGACACACCTGGTGTCTGGGAGCCATCACTACTCTCTACACCCCAGTACCCGTGACCCCGACACACCTGGTGTCTGGGAGCCATCACTACTCTCTACACCCCAGTACCCGTGACCCCGACACACCTGGTGTCTGGGAGCCATCACTACTCTCTACACCCCAGTACCCGTGATCCCGACACACCTGGTGTCTGGGAGCCATCACTACTCTCTACACCCCAGTACCCGTGACCCCGACACACCTGGTGTCTGGGAGCCATCACTACTCTCTACACCCCAGTACCCGTGACCCCGACACACCTGGTGTCTGGGAGCCATCACTACTCTCTACACCCCAGTACCCGTGACCCCGACACACCTGGTGTCTGGGAGCCATCACTACTCTCTACACCCAGTACCCGTGACCCCGACACACCTGGTGTCTGGGAGCCATCACTACTCTCTACACCCCAGTACCCGTGACCCCGACACACCTGGTGTCTGGGAGCCAGCGCCACTCCCTGGTCAACAAGCCTAGCACTCGTCTACATCTCCCGGCTGACAATTACCTGCACACCAACGCCACCTACACGGTCTCGCCGGTGTATATAGGGAGCTCACCAGCCACTAGACGGCAGAATACTCTTCAGTGCTCAAGCTGCACCTCTTCTCTCGCTCCCCCTGGGTGGTGGTAGACTTACGCGGCTAATGTATATAGTATTTTCCTGCACCTGTAATTTTTTTCTTAACGTAACGTTCACATGTTTATTTCTTTTACATTTTTTGCACTGTGTATAAGCCAAGTTTCATAGAGGATCTATTTTTGTAATTGTTAACATCATTTTTTGTTATATTAAAATATTTAATTTTTTCCTTCTTTATACTTTACCCTGCAGCTATCATACCGTAAACAACTCAATAGCAGTTTTATTTACTTTGTTTTACCTTTTTTCTTAATTTAATGTGATTGGCATTCCATCTGCCTTAATAGCCACTGCTCTATATCGCCATTTTTCCGTCACATTAAGTGGAAGCCTGTCCTAGGAGTCTTGCTCAGGTAATGCTCCTAGATACTTTACTGAAAATTGTGATAATTGTAGTTGGCTTTAACACATGTTTCTTTATTCAGAATTCTTATTTGAGCATTTTAATGGTCCTTAATACTGTATACATTCCAGGTGTAGCAATTTATGACTGTTGGATTGACTTTGGATTACGTGGGTGTTTTATGCGCAAAATCATAATCGTAATTGGTTATCTAATAATCTTTGTTATATCCTGTGGTTTCCACCTTATTCTCGTCCCTACAGAAGAGGTCCTCACTCAGGCAGATCACCCCCTCGGGTACTCTGGTACTTTGGTCTGTCTCCGGACTATTACGCCTACTCCTTGCAATCCAAACTTAGGGGGAAATACTGGACCATAGTCCCTCTCGCTTTAAGGACTTCACTGTCCGGTTGGGACCCATACAGCAGTTCTCGTCATATATTGACACTCTCCGCACCCCCTACGGGTCGGTCAGAGATTATGGTACTTACACAGGTAGGGAGTTACCATTTTTTTCCAGAGTGATAACTCTGTATGTACTATCTAGTTTAGTAGGAAACATCTTACCTTTGTTCTCGTCATTTATACCTGGTTGATACCTGGTTGATGGGGTTCTGGGAGTTCTTCTACTCCCCAAGCCCGGCCCGAGGCCAGGCTTGACTTGTGAGAGTTTGGTCCACTAGGCTGTTGCTTGGAGCGGCCCGCAGGCCCACATACCCACCACAGCCCGGTTGGTCCGGCACTCCTTGGAGGGATAAATCTAGTTTCCTCTTGAAGATGTCCACGGTTGTTCCGGCAATATTTCTTATGCTTGCTGTGAGGGTGTTGAACAACCGCGGACCTCTGATGATTATACAGTGCTCTTTGATTGTGCCTATGGCACCTCTGCTCTTCACTGGTTCTCTTCTGCATTTTCTTCCATATCGTTCACTCCAGTACGTTGTTATTTTACTGTGTAGATTTGGTACTTGGCCCTCCAGTATCTTCCAGGTGTATATTATTTGATATCTCTCTCGTCTTCTCTCTAGTGAGTACGTTTGAAGGGCTTTGAGACGATTCCAATAATTTAGGTGCTTTATTGCGTCTATGCGTGCCGTATATGTTCTCTGTATTCCCTCTTTTTCAGCATTTATAGGGTACCGGGTACAAGAATCCCTACATTTTCGAAATACTTCGTTTCACCCTTTGATCTAAGTAATCAATTTAATTACTAGATTTAATTACTCAAATTAATTATTGTAACCTTGACTTGTAATCATTAAGTATACACAGGATAGTTTAAAGTTGCCACGTCATCCTGTCAGTCTGACACATCATATATTGGTTCACCATATGAAGGTATTTCTCTGCCTATTACTTGCTAGAAATTCATTCACCATGTTCCGCCTTGCTGTATTCTACTCTAACCCAGAAGATGAAGTGAGGACACTACTCCGTGCCACCAAGGCTGAACCTCTGACTCTAGTAAACGAGCACCATATTACTCCTCATCATAGAACCACTAAAACTGATCTCCATAACCTCATTCTCGATTTGTTGGTAGATAATAACAGACTCACATCATCGGCTCATGAACAACATCTAACTGCTGATAAGAGCACCCTGGCAGCCATGATGATGAAAATAGAGCTCGCCACCCTAGAACGTGAACGGGAGAAGGAAGCTCTTCAGATAAGAGAACTGGAAGCTGAACTTCAACTCAAAATCGCTGAAAAACAAGTTGCTATCCAGAAGGAACAACTTGAACTCCAACATGAACGTGAGAGGGAGCAAGCTGCCATGCAGAAGGAACAAGTTGAAGTCCAACACCAAGTCGCTGAAAAATAAGCTCCACTTCAACGTGAACAGGAAGCTCTGCAGGTAAGAGAAGAGGAACTTCAGCTCCAACGTGAACAGGAAGCTCTGCAGGTAAGAGAAGAGGAACTTCAGCTCCAACGTGAACAGGAAGCTCTGCAGGTAAGAGAAGAGGAACTTCAGCTCCAACGTGAACAGGAAGCTCTGCAGGTAAGAGAAGAGGAACTTCAGCTCCAACGTGAACAGGAAGCTCTGCAGGTAAGAGAAGAGGAACTTCAGCTCCAACGTGAACAGGAAGCTCTGCAGGTAAGAGAAGAGGAACTTCAGCTCCAACGTGAACAGGAAGCTCTGCAGGTAAGAGAAGAGGAACTTCAGCTCCAACGTGAACAGGAAGCTCTGCAGGTAAGAGAAGAGGAACTTCAGCTCCAACGTGAACAGGAAGCTCTGCAGGTAAGAGAAGAGGAACTTCAGCTCCAACGTGAACAGGAAGCTCTGCAGGTAAGAGAAGAGGAACTTCAGCTCCAACGTGAACAGGAAGCTCTGCAGGTAAGAGAAGAGGAACTTCAGCTCCAACGTGAACAGGAAGCTCTGCAGGTAAGAGAAGAGGAACTTCAGCTCCAACGTGAACAGGAAGCTCTGCAGGTAAGAGAAGAGGAACTTCAGCTCCAACGTGAACAGGAAGCTCTGCAGGTAAGAGAAGAGGAACTTCAGCTCCAACGTGAACAGGAAGCTCTGCAGGTAAGAGAAGAGGAACTTCAGCTCCAACGTGAACAGGAAGCTCTGCAGGTAAGAGAAGAGGAACTTCAGCTCCAACGTGAACTTAAGAAGGAACAAACTGCCCTCCAAAAGGAACGTGAACTGAAAGCTCTTCAGGTAAAAGAACGTGAAGCTGAACTTCAAATTAAAGTCACTGAAAAACAAACCGCCATCGCTCTAAAGAGCTGAAGTCAAGAGCTTGACCTTGAAACCATCAACATCACTCAGAGTAAGGAAGCAGAAGCTAAACTCCTGGTACGTTTCAATCTTTGTCATGCAATTCAATTAATGTCATCCTTTGTCGAGACTGAGGTAGATGTATGCTTTACTTCATTTGAAGGTCTAACTAACCAACTCAGCTGGCCTCAGGATCAATGGTCTGTACTTCTCAAGTCTTTTGACAGGTAGACCCGCCATGACCCTCAGTGCTATATCTTCAGAAACAGACTACAAGGTGTTGAAATAGGCAGTGCTTGACACCTACTTACTATCCATAGAGAATTATAGACGTAAGTTTAGGGACTACCTTAAAACCAGGGCTAAAGTTACCTAGAATTTGCCAACAATAAGAAAATTTATTTTATAAGTGGCTAGAAGCAGCCTAAGTCACCTCCTTTGCAGATCTCATCTTGGTGGAAGAATGCCTTCGTCGTGTTCCTACTCCTATACGTCTCTACATTGCAGACAAGGAAGAAACCTTTACTAGGTGCGCACAGTTGGCTGACTCCTACAGTCTCATTCAGAGAGTGTCATCCGACACCCCCCCCCCCCTGGTAAACCCTCTGGGTCCAGTTCTGATAAAGTGAGTAATAGTAGTATGAACCCCTCACTTTACTGCCGTTGCTGTAAATACTATGGGAATACCATAGAAAAGTGTACCAGTCCTCACTGTAAGGTCAGCAGTGAGACCAACAAGCCCAAATCACCTCCTAGAATTCCTAAGATTCCTATGCCTGTAATAATTATTTTTTTCCATCCTCTGATCTTTCCCTCTTCAACAGACACCTGTACACCGGAACTGTCTCTGCCAGCGGTGGAGATTCGGAGGGAAGGATCAAAGTGAACATCTTGAGGGACACAGCTGCTCTATAATCAATGATCCTCAAAACAGCTGCACCCAACGTCATCTACACCTGAGAAACCGTCTTCATCACTGACCCCACTGCAACCACTCCATATTCACTAGCAACAGTCCACCTGAATTGTTCGTTTGCTCGTGGTGAAGTCCAAGTCGCCATCCGGGAGAAACCTTTCCCCTTGCCGTGAGTTAAGCTTCTCCTGGGCAACGACTTGGCAGAAGATCAACAACCCACGAACCTCATCACGAACACACCCCAGGTATGTGACTCATCCGTGGAAGATCTTATGAAATATATTGCAGAGGAGGTCCAACCGATTAACGATTCTGAGGACCTCTCCCATCCTGTCCTGGTGACGACACGCACCCAAGCTACGCAACCGCAACCAGCTGCTCCAGCTGTCCTTCAAGATTCTCAGAGCTTCCCACCGAATCTCAACATGTTGGAGTTCCATAAGTTAAGCAGAGAGATCATTCCTTAAAACCCTTATTCTTTCAAGCTGAGACACGATCCGACTGTATCCCTAGGTTTTTTGTAAAGAACAAAGTACTTTAGACCCAGTAAATTGGTAGGAGGACGACGATTGGGCTAACGTCAACCAACTGGTAGTTCCCACCAGCCTACGGCCAGATATCTTGCGTCTGGCCCATGGCTTTCTCTCACACTACGGCCTCTACAAGACCTACAAGGACCTGAAACAGGACTACTATTAGCCACGTATGATTCGTGATGTCAAGATCTTTCTAAAAAATTGCCGCACGACAGGTAAGCCTAACGCTCTTCTATCCAAGGCACCAGTGACGCAGGTTCCAGTGCCTCCTTAGCCGTTCCGCCATCCCATCAACAACGATGTCGAGTATCTGTCAAAGATAAGCTCAGGTACCTTGCATATGAGTAATATCCCGTGTTCTACCCCCAGGTTTCCTACACCAGTTTCCGTCCAGAACAGTACGGCTACTAACGTTGTGAAGCACCTCGTCAAACAGTGCCCGCAGTGCAGACATCCCCAGGAGAGTCGGAGCAGGGGTGACACTATTCTTTCCAACAACCTGTGTAAGACAAACATCTCCCAGGAACTGTCAAGCCCTTCATATTGCACTTCTCCTTATTGCAATGGTTCTAAGTCCTCGATCCTGTCCATAACCAGGAAAGATCCTCCTACCTACGAACCAAATCCATATAAACGTCCTCCTCTCCATAACTTTATCAGCCCTAAGCTAAGATATTGTAAGACAAACTTGCCTTCCATGGCATTTGAAAGGCGTAAAACCTTTTCTTGTACTAATTCCATTCTCGCCTCGCCAGGTGTTACGAAACCCTTCGTCTTCCATGTCCACAACAGCCACACTGGAGAGAGGAACACCATGACGCCACAGCCAGATGGGATCGTGCACTCCAGCTTCTACTATCATAAAGGAGCCACTCAACATACTACTAAGCGTACACCACAACGAACCATCAAATCTTTTTATCGACCAATTAGCCTAACGTCTATTGTGGGAAAGTTACACGAATCTATAATAGCAAATAAAATTCGTCTTCATCTTGAAAAACATAAATTAATAATTGAGTCGCAACATGGTTTTATAAATGGCCGTTCATGTTTAACAAATTTTTTATTTTTTTATTCTAGCATTGTTGAGGCAGTTCATAGTGGTAAGGATTGCGATGTTGTGTACCTTGACTTTAGCAAAGCTTTTGATACAGTGCCACATGAAAGACTGATTAAAAAGATAGAGTCTCATGGTATTGGGGGTGCTATATTAAGCTGGATTAGGGCATGGCTATACCAAAGGAAACAGAGAGTTAGTATAAATGGAGTCAAGTCAGAGTGGGAAAATGTTGTAAGTGGGGTGCCTCAGGGCTCTGTCCTGGGACCTCTGTTGTTTATAATATATATAAATGATTTAGATTCAGGTTTGAGTAGCAACATTTGCAAATTTGCCGATGATACGAAAATCGGTAGGGAAATTAATTCGGAGGAGGACTCACTATCACTTCAAGTTGATCTAGATAGGGTTTTGAAATGGTCAAAGGATTGGCAGATGCAGTTTAATGCTGATAAATGTAAAGTTCTGAGGTTAGGTAATAATGATAGGGTTACAAGATACGAGCTAGATGGTGTTGAGATTGCGAAAGGGATCTGGGAGTTATGATTAGCAAGAATTTAAAACAAAAGGATCAATGCATAAATGTTCGAAATAAGGCAAATCGGACACTTGGATTTATTAATCGCAGCGTTAGTAACAAGACACCTGGTGTGGTTCTTAAGCTATATCTTGCTCTAGTTAGGCCCCATTTAGTTTATGCAGTTCAGTTTTGGTCGCCATATTATAAGAACATAAGAACATAAGAACAAAGGTAACTGCAGAAGGCCTATTGGCCCATACGAGGCAGCTCCTATTCTATAACCACCCAATCCCACTCATATACTTGTCCAACCCGTGCTTGAAACAATCGAGGGACCCCACCTCCACAATGTTACGCGGCAATTGGTTCCACAAATCAACAACCCTGTTACTGAACCAGTATTTACCCAAGTCTTTCCTAAATCTAAACTTATCCAATTTATATCCATTGTTTCGTGTTCTGTCCTGTGTTGATACTTTTAATACCCTATTAATATCCCCCCGGTTATGTCCATTCATCCACTTGTAAACCTCTATCATGTCACCCCTAACTCTTCGCCTTTCCAGTGAATGCAACTTAAGCTTTGTTAATCTTTCTTCATATGAAAGATTTCTAATTTGGGGAATTAACTTAGTCATCCTACGCTGGACACGTTCAAGTGAATTTATATCCATTCTATAATATGGCGACCAAAACTGAACTGCATAATCTAAATGGGGCCTAACTAGAGCAAGATATAGCTTGAGAACCACACCAGGTGTCTTGTTACTAACGCTGCGATTAATAAATCCAAGTGTCCGATTTGCCTTATTACGAACATTTATGCATTGATCCTTTTGTTTTAAATTCTTACTAATCATAACTCCCAGATCCCTTTCGCAATCCGACTTCGCAATCACAACACCATCTAGCTCGTATCTTGTAACTCTATCATCATTACCTAACCTCAGAACTTTACATTTATCAGCATTAAACTGCATCTGCCAATCCTTTGACCATTTCAAAACCCTATCTAGATCAACTTGAAGTGATAGTGAGTCCTCCTCCGAATTAATTTCCCTACCGATTTTCGTATCATCGGCAAATTTGCAAATGTTGCTACTCAAACCTGAATCTAAATCATTTATATATATTATAAACAACAGAGGTCCCAGGACAGAGCCTTGAGGCACTCCACTTACAACATTTTCCAACTCTGACTTGATTCCATTTATACTAACTCTCTGTTTCCTTTGGTATAGCCATGCCCTAATCCAGCTTAATATAGCACCCCCAATACCATGAGACTCTATTTTTTTAATCAGTCTTTCATGTGGCACTGTATCAAAAGCTTTGCTAAAGTCAAGGTATACAACATCGCAATCCTTACCACTATCAACTGCCTCAACAATGCTAGAATAAAAAGATAACAAATTTGTTAAACATGAACGGCCATTTATAAAACCATGTTGCGACTCAATTATTAATTTATGTTTTTCAAGATGAAGACGAATTTTATTTGCTATTATAGATTCGAGTAACTTTCCCACAATAGACGTTAGGCTAATTGGTCGATAGTTAGACGCAAGTGATCTATCTCCTTTCTTAAAAACTGGTATCACATTAGCAACTTTCCAAAACTCTGGCACTCTGCCTGACTCTATTGATTTATTAAATATGGTTGACAGTGGGTCACAAAGCTCCTCTTTGCATTCTTTAAGCACCCTAGCAAACACTTCATTTGACCTGTCTCAGTTTTTAATGGACCTATCCTTTCCCTAGTCTTAGTACGATATAACTGAAAAACCCCTTTAGGATTTGTCTTTGCTTGCCCTGCTATGCGAACTTCATAGTTCCTTTTTGCTTTCCTTATCTCTTTTTAACATTTCTAACCAGTTGTACGAATTCCTGTTCTAAAGTGACCTCCCCATTTTTAATCCTTTTGTACCAAGCTCTCTTTTTACCTATAAGGTTCTTCAAATTCTTTGTTATCCACTTTGG